GCAGGAATGAGGGGGCCAAAAACCAGCTTTCTTTGTGCAGTACAGGAAGCAATACTCCTCAGCAGGATGGCAAAAAGGGTAAAAACAATTAAGTGTCCCCCACTAACAAATCTGGAAAGTTTTGATTTCCTTCCTCCACCCAAGCCATGAATTTTCAGTTTATGCAGAGGGCACCGGAAACAATTGTGCATTTTATGCTCCCCACCCCAAAAATGTGTGACAATCATGTGGAAGGGAAGAAAGGGCAAGAAAGCTCTCCAAGAGAACATATACACATCAGATTTAATTAGAGGAATAGGTTTACTATGAACAGTGAAAATGCTGCGGTTAGAGTCTAGAGATTATAATTCCAGACCCTGTTCCAGACCAGCTGTGGTCATTTTGTAATTAAATAGATTTTCTGCTAAAAAAAACCAAAACGAAACCCCAAACCCCTCAATCTTGGGCTTGAAGGTTAAGGCTTGTAATACAGTGACCTTAAAGCTCAAATGTACCAGGACTTACACCCTTCAAATTATTCTGTGAAGTTTTGCTGTTTCCTCTCATGTTCTTAGAGAGATGAGTAGTGCTGGTTATGGCCAGCAAGGCTCTCTGGGGATTGTGAGTGACCTGGGAAGATCTGTCTCTCCCAGACAGATATGGGAAGGCAGGACTCCACCATCAAGACCAACAACTTTGTGAAACACAACCTGAATACCTGTGGTCAGCGTTATTCTTGTGCTTCCCGCTCCAGAGCCTCCTGCTGACAGCTGATGGGGGAGGAGAGGAGGGCAGAGGAGGAGGAGGAATGGATGGCAGAGGGGGTAGGTTTCTTTTATTCCTAGCTGCTGGGACCCAGTCCTCTTCCCCCTCGTGCTTGAAAGTCCGCCGGGGCTTTGGCAGTGGGTTGATGAAGGGTTTCTTCTCTGGCACCCCTGGCTCTGTGTACACATTCTCCACTGTGCAGTCCTTGGATTTTGCATGAGAAGTTCTTATCTCTTCTAGAGTCCCAAAAATCGGTTCACTGATTTCAGAGTCCAAGCCAAGAAGCCTTCTGTTGAGCTCGGCCCCACATATGCTCTCATGGCCCTCAGAGGCAGTGTGTCCCTGTGCTGCCTTCTCCTGCAAGCACTGTGGGGAATAGTAGGTACCAGGCAACTGTGGCTGCAGCTCTGCTGAGCCGTCTCTCAAAGCCTGCTCTAGCTTCTTGACCTGACTAAGCACTGAAAGATTCTCCTTCTGGATCTCCCATTTCCCACCTTTCACCTCCTGGCATTTTGCAGGGCTGGACTCCACTTCCTCATCCTTCTGCACTTCCCCCTTTCGCTCCGCTGCCCGCCCTGAGCTTTTCTGAGTTCTCACTTTCTGCTCATTTTCTTTGCCTGTCCCTTTGCACTCCCGTTCCCAGTTCATGAGTCTCTTGGTTTCCACTTTCCGAGTCATCAGTGCTTCCCCACCTGCCTTCTCAGTTACACAGGGCACCTTGTGCTCCTCTCTAACTCCCTGCTCCTCCTCTCTGCGAGGAGCAGACTGCATTTCCTTTTTCCCCTCCCATTCTGAAATTTTGTCCTTGATGCTGAAGGTCTTATTCCTCAAGCCAATTTTTCCAGGTGACCTTATATTCTGAGTGCCTCCTATCTGTCTCCTGATGATTTTATTGTTTTCTTTAACATTTAGATCCACAGACGGGTCACTGATGATCATTTTGGGACTAAGCATGTTCTGCTGAAAGCTATCTAGCCTTGGATCCAGCATCAAGTTCTCCAAGGCTCCCAGTGGGTTCTTCACCACAGAAGGAACTGGTTCAGCTTCAGGTGTTAAACCCAGGGTGACAGAGGCACCTTCAGAACACCTCTCACTCAGAAATCCACACAAAGGTCCTTCTAATTCCGTCACAGCTGATGTATTATTTTTATCTGCAAGCTTGATCCTACACACCAAAGACAAAAAGAGAAGAAACATTCACTGCATTGCTCACCCTTGGTTTTTTCCATCATTTCCACAAGCCCTACTCGTAAAGCTGATAACAGCAGAGGATGCTCAAACCAAGCACTTCAGAGATGGGCTTATGGGGGAGGATGCTGAGGGAAAGGTCCTTTTAGCCATAACACAATACTCTCCTCTTCTTATGACTAAGGCAATTTGAAATTAAGTCCTTCTCTGTAGCAGAAGTAGGTGGCAGGTAAAAGAGAGAATTTTTGTACATCTGACATGCTGATGCCAATTAGAAGTTCAGGAGCAATTTTGCATGTGTGTGTTCAGAAGAGCAGTACAATTCTGGATGCTGCCAAATCATTAAATAGGTTCACTGCAAATAAATGTAAATCGGACCATTTGCAAACTTTAGCAAAATTGCTGCTGTTGGAGGAGAAAATATAGGACACAGCTGACATTCCTCTACTGCCTGCCCAGAGGATCTCTCTCAGTCCATCCAAATGTTCCCTGAGTGCACAAAGACTGCACTTTTATTATTACACTTCTATGGCCCTATCATCCCAGGCCGTATGTGGGCTTGGGCTCCCATGCACAGTCCCTCGCCCATAGCACATGACATAGCACCCAGAGACCAGATTCAACATTTTCAGGGCAAAGGATGAAACATCTTCACTGTCTGAGTCCAAAGTGCAGCAAAAATCCCTAAAATATTTTTAGTCTAAGGATCTCCAAGCATGTGGTATCACAATATCAAATTGTGACAATAAAGTTCCAGCTGAACAGGCATTCCAATACAAAATGTTTCTGAACCAAAGCACTTAGCCATGTCTTTGGGGTTTGCCTGGGCTTGGGAAAAAGCACCAGGACAACACAAGCTACTGAGATGCAAACCCATATCATTAGTCCCATTTAACCACGATCCAAATACTGAAATTCAACTCAGGAAATTGCTCCATTAACTTATATGTATCAAGTGTGCTCCTTACAGAACTCAGTGCTCTTGTAAGAGCATCCATGTGGATACCCTGTGTGCTGGCAGGCCTTAGGCTTTGTCCTTGAGTTAAACAACACTGGCAGCCTTCTCAGACTCAGTTATAAGTTGTAAGTCTGGGAAGGGTTTCTGAGCAGAAATGGGGACTCAAGCCAGACGCTGTTCTTCCCTGGCCTCATAGATACTTAACTCCTGGCTGTCTCAGTGACAACATCATGCTTGGGTTAAGAGCTGGCACTGTGAACACCATGGCCTTTCCCAAGGAGCAGGTCACTGTGGTGTTACTAGTGATTGGACTGCACAGTAGAAGCCAAGGCTGGACACTAGGAAAAACCTGCAATGGATGGGGACAGTAAGTCTTGTCTGAAGAGTATGTGGAGTACCCAGCATTGAACATCTCAAGTACAGGCAGGGCAAACCTTGACAGGGATGTTACCAGCACAAAAGGTGATGCTGGGGGGCAGTTCTCTTCTAGCAGCATGAGTCTAGGAGGTAATCAGTCTGACAGGATGCTAAAATGCCCAGCATCACAGTGTGAGATGGCAATAAAGCCATCAAAAACCTACAGGGCTGTGTTTTAACATGTGACAAGAAAGGGACAGTGCAGGGCAGAGAGAATGCTTCTTTCCTTTGCTTTTCCTTCTGCTGGGGATAATAACACACACAAAGCACTCCAGGACTGAAACATGAAAGCTCTCACCTCTCAACAAACTTGCAGACACTGCTTTCAGACTTGCTGCTCACGTCGACTGCCTTGCTAGCTGTCATCATGTCAGCACACAGCAAGGCAGGAGGTCACCTGCAGACAGACACAAGGAAGAGGTATTGCTCTGTGCTCAGGATCCTTCTCTCTTCCTCCTACACACACATACACGTTTCTCCTTGAAACTCAGAAGCGCAGAAGCAAGAGATGACAGTTCTCTGAGGACAGCCTGTGTTTCCACCTCTATGAAATGGAAAGAGGGGTGACAGTATTACCCCCTAGAAGCCCAGGGAGGAGTCGATGGGTTCTGAGGGCAAAAATTATCTTTGACTCAGCATCAACCACTGTACCATGACTTGAATATGAAGCACATTTTATGAAGGCCTGTACTCTTGCCAAAATCTCAGTGGATTTAAGGTTTTTTTATCCTCACAGAAGACTAAAACAGAAACAACTTTAAAACAACCTGTGTTAAGGCCATATGACCAAAGTGGCTCCCGTGCATGTAACACTGTCACTATGCTCCCAACTTGGGACAGAAAACATTTCAGTCTGAAGAGACACTCCACTGCACCCACTGGTTTCCTTCTCTCTGGTGGGCCATGTTAGGCTGCTACTGATCTGATTCAAGAGGATAACTCCTCATGGGGGTAAGATAGAACAGTGACAAAAATGAGTCATTCTGTTTGCCTCATGGTTTCTAGCATGCATGGGGCAACTATCACACTTTTTTTTTTTTTTTTTTTTTTTTTGAGTAGTTCTGCTACCTGGTCAATGCAACAGACTCCATCCTCTTTTTATTGCCTCACAAGGCTCTTACACACTAAATAAATAATAAAATAATTAGTCTGTTACTCTGCAGCACCATCTCTCCTCACTTCTCAGGGTGGCCCACCTGCTCTACAGCATTGCATTGACAACAGGCTCACCATCTGGTAGGCAGTACTTGGAAAATCTGAAGCCTTTCAAATCTGACCACTTGGCTGGTCTGCCAGATGCTGCCCTGCCATGCTTAGCATTTGGCAACAAGACCAAGTACCTCGGGAAATTTAATAGTTTCTTGTCATTAAAAAAATAAAACCCACTACACCAGAAACAGTAAAGAATAAAAGGATCTCTCGTTTCCACTGCTCAAGTATTTTGGGCAGAGAGAGGAAAAAAGAAAAAAAAGAAAATGAGTCTTGTTTGTTCGCAGTTTTCTCTCCCTCCCTTTATCCCACACTGGCAACGTTCCTGAGGCGAGGAGTGAACTCCAGGTCAACTCAATGTGTACACACTTGGGGCAGCTCATTGCTAACCATTGAGCGGGCTCTCCTTCCCCAGACAATAAACCCCCTTGGCTTCTCTTCCTCATTAGTAACTGGAACAAACATCCACTTCACTTCTAGACACAGAACAGCCTTGCTACATTGTCAAGAACACTTACCAGCCCGAGGAACCACATCTATTCACCCGTCCGTTAACTGTTATGGACTGAAAATAATGAAAACCTAACGATTGCTCCTGTCCTTGCCAAAGAATGACTCACCCAGGCAGCCAGAGCAGATTCATGCAAAGCTGCAACAGGGGCTGCTCTGCACTTGGCTCACAACATCTCCAGAGGTGGGATGGTCTCTTCACTCACCACACATTTAGTGCCTCACACAGCAGGGTCAGTGGCCACAGCCCCTCGGCACTGCCTGTAGCAGTAAGAAAGGTGACAACAACGGGAGTGCCTCTGCTTGCGATGAGCTCCTCTGTCTTGATAAGATCACACAACTTCCCCATTAGCAAATGCCATCTCTCAGCCTTTTCCATTAGACCCCTCACAAGCACTGCCTTGAAAACAGACATCTGAGTGTGAGCAAATGTGTGCTGGTGCTCAGCACAGTTACACACCTGATGCAGCTCCTGTGGGAGAGGTCAAAAAGAAGATAATACAGAATAAGAGATGTATTCATTCCTTCATCTCTAGTGGATGGGACAGACCCCATCACACTTGGTAAGCAGAAACGAGGCACAAAGCAGTTGCTGAGTGCCGCAAAGAGCCTTCTGTGAAAGGAGCACCACTGCAAGCCGTGGATCAACATCACTCAAAGTCAAGGCCAGAGGGCCATCTGTCCCTGCCAGCCACCAACCAAAGGAACGCACTCACATTCAGCAGATTCAAGCGCAGGCCAGGAGCCTCCAAAGCAGCAACATATCAGACGCTGCAATGTGACAACAATCAGGTACCTACCGACACACCCGCTGACAACACACACCACTCAGGGTAGTAAAGTCATCCCTCCTCCACAAGCTGTGCCTTCACCCTTAAGGATCACACTACACAGGGTGTCCTCAGCATTACCTAGGGGATTACTGTAGCATATTAGCTGGTCCTGCCCAAAAGAGTAAATATTTAACCAAACACACTGGAAGACATGAGGGGGAAAATAGTGTTCACCTCTGGAATAAAATAACAGAAAATATTACAGTGCCTCCCAGTTAGTCTAACACTCAGATAATTTGCTTGCAGCCAATCCCAAGCCCAAACGAACTTCAAAGGTGATGGGATCATCTCTTCCATTAATAAGGTCATCAGACTTGCAGGCCTGACCCCCAGGCATTGCCAGTGCCTGACAAGAGGAAGCTGCGATGGCAGTGATGGAAAACCGTCTCAGTAGGAAAACAAAAGGTAGATCTTCCCTACCGAGGTTTGGCTCCACAAGGCACCCTGAGTTATCGTGACAGTGCACTGCAATGGGAAAGGGGAGCTCCTGTTCCACCACTGTGTGCTGGCTCAGGCTCTCACTGGAGCTCCTCTGTGACCTGCTATAGCTTACTGAGAGTTTTAGACATGGAAGGTGTCCAACATGCACCCAATCTGGTACAAGGGAGGTGATGAAACTGTGTGAAGCGAAGGGAGAGAACTGAAACAGCTGCCCAGGGAAGTGGTTGAATCACCATCCCTGAACGTGATTAAAAGTCATGTAGATGTGGTGCTTAGGGACACGGTTTAGCAGTGGACTTGTTAGAGTTAGGTTAATGGATGGACATAATGATCCTAAAGGCCTTTTCCAACCTAAACAAAAGAGGGAGGGAAGTGAGGACAGAGAGCAGGAGAAAGTGTGTGTGTATGTAGGGATAGGGAAGAGAGGCTCAGAAGTGGTATCCAAAATGCTCTTCTTCCCTGCCTCTTGTGCAATGTGACTATGGCCCAACAAACTGCCTAGAAGAAACAAGGAAGGCTGAGTTCAGTTAGCAGGCAATCCAAGAAGGACATACCTACATCAGGCTGATGCGCCTTGACTGATTGCTGCTTTCTCTAAAAACCACACAACAACTTTATACCAGCAATGGGAGGCACCGCCGCGCAGCAACCCGAGCTCCTGACACATACATCCTGGAGCAGCAAGGCCATAAAAGGGGAGAGAAGACTCCAGCCCCATTTGGGGAGCCTCATCACGCAATTTATCTGGTAATCCCTGCCATTGTTCAGTGGAACAAAGCAGTCATCTGATATAATTTCAGAATTAAACTGGGAAAGGAAGGACAGGGGAGGAAGTGGGAGGAAAGAGGGAGAGGAGAGAGCTCTCAAACCTGTTGGCCAGACCCCGGGCAGGATGTGAAAGTCTCCCAGCAGAAGCCTCTCAGTGTATCTCCCACATGCACCCGGCCTCACAATTCCCAGGGCCACGTGATAGGGGCTTCCTGCTACCAAGTGAAGCAAGACCTACTCCGACCCTTCTCTTCCAAACAGAGTTCCTGCCTGCTTAGTGTTCGCAAAGAGGCGTTTGTTTACTGATCTATCATTGGCATGCAGGAAACAGCCTTGAAATGAGCTGTAATCATCTGTCTCCAGCAATAGCTGTTTGGCTTTCATTCTAATTTAAGTTCTCCTCCCCCCCCCCTCCAGTGCACTCTTCCCCACTTCCGATCCAAATGCTCTCGGCGTACTCACATCTGCTTCAGGGCACTAGATACTGCACAGTGTCTCTAAAGCAACCAGTGAATAAAAAAGATGCTGACAGTAGGCACGCTCCCACCTCCAAAGGACAGAGAAGCCTTCTTCAGAGGAATACGAGCTAAACTCCTCCAGGGAGGGGAAGAAACTGGCTTTGCCTGCTGCAGTTGGTGCAGCCATGCATGATGACAAAAGCCAGAGAGGCACCACATGCCCTGCAACCTATGTCATGAGAAATGTACGCAGCCAGCATGCTGGCTGCACGTGTGGAGCCTTGCCTCTGATAAGGTCAGGCAGAGATGGCAGCAAGCCTCCCAGGCTGCCCTTCTTTGCTCTTTTGTTTTTGGGGAATACACCAAGCATACCTCAAAGGGTGTTGTGGTTTGGGGATGGGCACTGCCATTGCTGTGTGCTGGAGGCCATGTCTCAAGATTTTCTTTGCTCTGTTTGCTCTGCACCTCACATAAAAACTGGATCCAAGTCCGTAACTGGAGTCTCGCCACACCGCTGGTGTGTATAAACAGTGAGGCTCCACAGCACCAGGAGCGGCCTGCAGCTGGTCAAACTCTCCTCCAAGATGAAAAAGATGCCTTGCCTTTGCTCTCTTAGGTGCTCACAGAAATGGTCTCTCTAGTTACTTTCATGAGTAACCTCCAGCAGCCAGACAAAGCTTGCAAGGGACACCTCTCTGCTCCTAGTGCTTTACAGAACAAAGGACGCAGCATACAGACAGCAACAATGAGACAACAATATAGAACATACCTATATAAAGAACAGGAAGGATGCCAAGAAGACAAAACACTAACAGGAAAATCGTGAGTAAGGGGAAGCCAACAGTTAAAGTCTCGGAGGCCCTCCCAAAGCCCTTGCTCTGTTTGGAGCCATTTCCCTTTGGTGTAAGAAGCAGTGTGAGGATTCATGCCTGTGCACATGTAACCCCCAGCCCCCCCTAGGCCTCTGCATGGGCCCTGGTGCCCCAGCCCTGGGCAGCACCCCTATGCCAAGTACTGGCGGTGGGGGAGTCACTGACCCCAGGTGCCCAGTGCCAGCCCTGGGGCAAGGCAAGGGTATTCTGAAACAAGCTCAGGCAGGTGGTTGAACTAAGAGAGGAGGTAGAAAGATTGAGAAGGATCAGAGAGTGTG